ATTCAAGCAAATGAACCGGGCGGGCGGGTGGGAACCACCACCATTAAGGCTCCCACGATAGTCCTGCCTAGTTATCCCAGCTCCTGACCTTCAAAAACAGAGCCTGGCTGGATTTGTCTTCACATGGGCAATTTGGACATTTTGACCCAGCAATACTAAAGCCACCATTAACCCCTTCCTAGAGCGGAGGAGACCCAACGCAGAAACTCAGGGCTCTCTTCCCACAGGAGGCAGGGAAGGCAGGCCCTCTTGCTTTGGCTGATGAGTGCACAACAGGAATAATGACTAGACACTGACTTCTTCCTGAGTATCACCCATTACACAGTTAGATCATAAATTTACAGCAGCAATAAGCGCCTAAGAGAAGTTCTCAGAGGGCCCCGTTAACCCTGCGGGTCAGGCACTGTGCCAAACGTCAGAAGTACAATAAAGAAAACAGTCCCTGCATGGAGGGGTTTCAAAACCTCTCTGAGGAAACAGACATTGCAACAACTAAGCCCAGCGTCTGAGAGGTGCTATCATGTGTGGCGCCACGGGGGGCTCAGCAGAGCAAGAACCCAGTTCTCAGAAGGGGAAAGCTTCACACAGGTGGTGACACTGAGGGTGCTTTTTATTAAAATAACAGCTTTTTAATAAAAACCACTCAATCTTTGTAATAAGACAAGCAATAAGTGTCCAAAACAAGTAACAAAATACCTCAAGCCCCCAAACCCAGAAATAACCTGTATAAGCTCTTAAAAGGTAATTTTAAGAATTACCTCTTGGAATTTTACAAGAGGAAAAGAAACTGCTGTTAAAATGAAGAAACTTATCATGCAAAGGCCCCAAGTATAAAAGTGATGAAAAGCTTGGTCTGCCTAGAATACAGAGTGCCGACAAAAGGGGTAGCCAGCCAAGACCAACCACCACCCTGGACAGGGACCGAGTCTGTTTTATGTGCAAAGCCAGTGCCTAGCGCCATGCGGTGGACCTCCCATAAATATGCACTTAAAGAATAAAGTAGCACATGGAAGGTAGGCAGGTTAAGCATCTAGAGAGGAAGAGAGGAAGGCAAAGCAGCCAGTCCATTAAGTATAAAGAAATGAGTATCATGCATCATGAGATAATAAAATAATAGCAGCCCCATTTAACTGCTTTTGCAAATGCCCCAAGTCCAAGGCCAAGCATTTTTCCTTGTTAGCCCAATTAACTCTCACAACCACTTTCCCTAAATACTATTATTATTGTCATTTTACATCCAAAGAAACACCTAAAAAGGTTAGAGGGTCTGCCCAAGATCACCCAAATAGCAATTTTGATTCTGAACTCATGTTGATTCTCTTAACACAGGGCTTCTATCTTTCCAAAGAGGATCTGAGAGGTTTTTGGCGTTAGCAACATCAATGAGTTAATGTGCAGGCCCTTCCCCTCAAAGGGCTTTGCCCACTTGGATGCATAAGTTCTATTTAAAACAAATCTTAATACTGCTAGAGAACAAAATTCAACAGAGTAAATTTGAAGATCTAATTGACTTTATTAAGCAATTCATGAATGCAGCAGCACCCAATCCAGCAAATAGAAGGGCACTCCGAGGGGTTTATAGAAAGAAAGATGGGCTAGAGGAGTTATTAGCAAAATAAAGGGGGGGGGGTATTTTTAAACCAGGACATTTTCTTTTGCGGGGTAAGGGAAAGGCAAGGGTTTTGTCAAGCAAGTTGCCTCTTCTTCCTTTGGGAATGGAGAGGGCCCATGTGACAGATTACCTTATTGGCCCTTGACCTGGAGATTTCAGACTGGTTGACTAAGATTAGATTTCTGGGAGAAGTTGAAACTGAAGTTAAATCAGGTATTAAGTCTAGGTTTGATAACACAGGCTTCAGCACAAGTAATGCTATTGGGGCCTGTGGTTTTCTCTTTAACAATACTTTAGAATCATATGTCACATTCAACCCCTGAAATCATTAAAAGGGATTAAAGGGAAACACTAGAGCAATCAGGTCTAAAACATATACCCTGTTTCCCAGGAATGAGTAGTTTCCTTCCACTATTACAATGAATAATTTCAGACACCTATTTAGTGGTTTAATTGTTGGTTTAATTAGTTTATGTACCATAGGGAGGAAAAAAAGAGCAGGGTGGAAGGGCACAGCCAGGGCCTGGAAACCTGGAGCTCTGTCTGTACCTGGGAGCCTCCTTTGAGGAGGCTGTTTCCCTCAAGCGTGGGGAAGGAGGGAATCAGAAGACCAGAGGCAAGATTAGTCTGACTCAGACAGGCTGGGTAGATAAGAGATGATCACATGCAGGAGGAAGTTCTCTAGTAAAAAAAATTTTAAGTAATAGTCAGGGTTCTAAGGTTTGGTTCCATCTGCCCTTCCCGCATATCATCTTTCAAGTTCCTGTTTCACACACAGTCTCCTATTGGTTCCAGTGGCTCAGGACAGACCTGGGAAGCCTCTCTATTCCAATAGATCCAGCCATGAATTGGAGTAATGGATTTTTCCTATGAGGAGTCCTAGTTCTTACTTGGTCCTGAACTAAAGAAGTGGACAGAGACCCAAATTCTAGCTTTAGAACTGGTTGCTTCTGAGCCATCTCTGCTTTCTGCCAGGTAAGCCTACTTGCGGGGTTAAGGGGGGGCAGTGAGGATCTGGAATGGCAGAGCTCCAGGGAGAGCCAGCCAGGGACCTCCTCCCTTGGGGGCCCTGTTTGAGCCTGGGCACATACGAGGCAGGGGCTGACAGCTCAGGGAAGAGATGGGAGAGAGGCATGGTGATAAGGCACTGGCTGTCTTCCCTGCTATCCATCTGAGAATCTAATTTCTTGTGGAAAGCAAATTCAGAGGCTCTTCTTCATACCCTCATAATTCTCTTAGTGGCTCCTTCTCTTTGGATTCTCCCAAGATGCAAAGAGAGTTTCACAAGGTTGATAAGAAGAAGAGGAGAAGGAAGTTAGAAACAAATTTTGAACAATCTTCAAAGTTTAGGACACTTTAGGTAGACACAGGGGATGAACAACTGGTTCTGTGACAAGCAGGACTAGATTCATCTGCTCCAGAAAAGCCCTGTGAGCGAGACAGCCAGCAGCTGGGGGCCTCTGAGGGCAGGGTTTCAGGGAGTGTGTGTGTAGTGGGGTGCGGGGGGCGGTGCTGAAATGGCCTCCAGGAGCCCTGCTAAGCTAGCATCACTCCATTCTGGGGTAATACCTAGAACAGAGGTTCTCAAAATGTAAAACACAGATCAGCTCCACCAAAATCACCTAGGCAGTGTTTATGAAAACAACCTTTGTAAACCTGGAAGCTTATAAAACACGAAATGCCTCGGAAACCCAGGGTGAGCAATCACAAATGCCCCGCCACCTCGCCCCTCTTTAATCGCACTCCCTACGGACCACAGTGCACTTGGCCAATCCAGGGAACAGCAGGTGCAGGAACGTGTTTTCTTCTCTTATTAAGAACTGAGTAGCATTTCCTGTGCCCCATGCTTCATTAGCACATTGGTGGTATCCGTTTCCTGTCCCTGACTCTCTGTTTCCATTCTGGCAAAGTGTTTGCTCTTTTCTCTCTGCTTTGGGGGTTGGGGAAGACGAGCTTCTCACAGAGCCTCTCTCAGGCCTCTCGGCAGTTCCACCTTTGTGCCCCTCACACTTGCACCAGAATGCAGAGACTATGGCTTCTCCCTGACCCACCTCAAGGGCAGCACCGTGCCCCGACAAACTCTCCCCTCCTACCGTAGGCATTGTAGCCACATCCAGGTAGAACCAAACCTGCTGTTTTTGTATTTGGGGTCAACTCAGCCTGATGTTTCAGGGGTAGAAACAAGGTAGGGGGTTCGTTGGGGGGAAAGAAAGTGCTAGAAATAAAGATTGAAAGTTTAAAATCAATAGACTTTTATTGTGAGGGACTTTGATGAATAAAGATACAAGAAGAAAAAGTTAAGAGAGTGAAAAGTTGTGCATTAGGGAATGTTTGGGACACATGGAGATCAGGAGGATTTCTGTTATTGATGTACTGAAAATAAGTGGTTCTACTGCTCAGGATTATGTATAAAATACAAACCTATTTTGCCTTTTTCCCTGGGAGTCAGCAATTTAGGAAAAGCCAGGAAACATGGCAGACATGCTGGCTAGCTGATTATGATTAAGAGAAGGCTTAGAAGGAGAAGCTGAAGCCAGAGAGGTTCCTGTGACAATGGATGCCCTCACCCCAACCCTTTCAGAAATCAGAGGGACTACCTCGGAGCCCAGTACTCTACAGGTCACTCTCGGCAGTCTGGACAGGTGAGTGGCTCAGGGTGGTGAGCTTCACCCTTTCCTGAATTACACAGAGGGCCCTGGTCTACCTTGGGGGGCTTCTACTCGGCAATGCTACCATCTCTTACAACCAGGCTCAGGTCCACTGAGACTATCAAACTCTAGGCTCAGAGAAGTTTGCTACTGCTGAGAGGAAAGGAATAGATATTGAGGAAGAAAAGGAGTTGCTGAGGGAGAGAAAAGCCACGATAACACAGGATTTTCTTAGAGCTAGCTGCCCGGCCTGGCTGGACTTCTCACCTCGCAGAGGCCCCAATTGCAGCCCTCAATCTTTCCCATCTCAGGGCTCACCAATTGCCCCTCAGAAAAATACTATATCCCACCATGATGAAAACAGAAGTCCCACTTTTCCCAAAGATGTGTTTTTAGGTCCTAAAAAATTTGTCATGAACGAAAAATGTAATCATAAATATAATAAAGATTTGTCTTTAGAACATAAAAGTTCACAGAACTAATTGTGGATATCAATTTCACTGCTATATCTTTACTTTCAATATTTTACTAACAAAAACGTCCATCAGCAGTTGAAACTTTAGGAACGCTGGTAGGTATAAATTTTAGTGCTATGATAACTGCTATGAAACAGAGAGTCAGGGACAGGAAATTAAAATTAATAAATTTTAAATCGCTGCAGTTTGGGGAAATAATTGTTATTACCATGACGAGTACATGTCACTTTGCAGGTAGACAGGTGCATTGATGAGGAATGAATTCATAAAATCAGAAACCTGGAGCACCCACCCCAAAGAATAATTTCTGTATTTATTCACTTGTTTATTACTCACTCATTCATTCATTTAAGAAATCCTTATGCCTGACACTGTTCCAGGTAGCAGGTAAACAAGGCACACAAGTCCATAACCTCCTGGAGCTTACAGTCAAGTGGGAGAGTCAGATAGAATCAGATAAACAGTGTATAACATAATGTCAGTCATGAACGCTATGAAGAAAAACCAGAGCAGAGTAAGGGGACTGAGAGTAATCAGGTGTGGCCAGGGAAGACCTGTCTGAGGAGGTGACATTTCAGAAAAGACCCAGATGAAATGTGGGACTGAGCCATGCCGACAGCTAGGAGAGAGAGCAGCAGGTCTGAGACAGGACTGGGCTTTGCATGGGCAAGGAACAACAAGGAGTCCTAGTGGTCAAAGTCAAAGGGAAAGTGGTAGGAATGAGGTCAGAAGGTAGGCAGAGGCCAGAACATAAGGTATCATGAAGTCTTCTCTGGGTAGGGACTATGGTTGTTATCCCAGGTAGGATGGCAAGTCATGGGGGTTGCAATCAGAGGGGGTAGGGACTATGGTTGTTATCCCAGGTAGGATGGTTGCAATCAGAGAAGGGATATGATCTGATTTACTGTTTAGAGGATCATGCTGACTCATGAGTGAAGATAGTACATTGGGGCTGAGAGTGAAAGCAAGGAGACCCTTTAGAAAGGTTATTACAAAAGTCCACATGGAACACACAATGGCTTAGACCAAGGGGTGGTAGTGGAGGAATGAGAGGTGATTGGGTTTGGGATAAATGCACAGAGTTGAGCAGCAGAATCTGCTGGTTGACTAGAAGTGGGACATGAAAGAAATAGACAGTAAAGTAAAGGACAGTCTTAGACCGAGCTACCAGATGATGGGAAACACCAGAGGAGGAGCAGATTTATGGGAGAATAAGAGTGCTGTTTCAGATAGATTGGCTTTGGGATGTCTGTTAGGCAGCCTAATGGAAATATCCAGTATAGAGCTGGATAAACAAGACTAGAACTCAGGAGAAAAAAAAAAAAATCCCTGATAGATTACCTGGTTCCTAATATTTAGGAGATCTGCTAGCGATTCCTCCTGTAACCTCAGCTGGCTGCTTGCTGTTACAATAGGCAACTCAGAGCAGTAAACCCTGACCTCCAATGGAATTGCAAACAGCACAGAACTTGTTCGGTGCGTTTCCATTGGTTAAATAACACAGAACAGAGTGTTGCTTGGAGACCAGTCCCACAAGTTGGTGCTGCGAAGGCTCTCCAAGTGCACGCCAGCTGGGACTCTGTCACAGAGCCACTCCTTAATTATAAATTGGGTAATCCTCTCCTCTCGGAAAGATGGGAAGCCCAGGAGTAGGAAGCAAGGACAGATGACTTTGCAGATTTGGAGGCCAATGTGATGCAGTGAAAAGAGCATGATCTTTGGGCCCAAACCCACCTAGACTCACATTCCATCTTTGCTTCTTCCTACCTGTGTGATCTTTGATATGTGACTTTACCTTTCTGAGTCTAAATCTCAGGTTCCATGGCCACAAAAACAGATGGGATTGTTGCAAAGATTAAATAAGTATCACATGCAAACCCCTGATATCCAATATGCATTCACATGGGATAGCTCCTTCTCCTGTGTCCAATTTTCCTCTGTCCATGAAGAGATGACCCTCTTCCACCACATAGCTCAGTTTACCCGGCCTTCCCCTACCTGGCTCCCATTCCAAATCCTCGGGCTCGAACTCCTAAAGAAAGCATCTTCTCCAACCTTCCCACCTCCCACGGCTGGGGCCTGGCACTCAGTTTTCCTCATAGATCTACAGACCAGAGCATCGGCATCTTTTCTGGGCTTGCGGGACTCCTCGCCCTCCTCCTGGTCATCGCAGTTGTCTGTGTCCTGCGGAACTGGAATAAACGGAAGAAGCGTGAGTCCCTTGTTTGTCCAAAGTTGAGACACACTAAGACCAATAATCTAGCCTGCCATTTAAAGCTCAATTTATTTTCCAGGGATCAACTATTGCACCAGGGAGTCCTCTGTTCTTATCTGACACACTGGTCCTTGATTTGCTCAACATCCTAGGCTGTGGTTCCAAAAGACTTGGTGCTGAGTGTAGTTCCATTTGGAAAGTCATTGCCCTAGTACCTCTGGGCCCCTGCTCTGTCCACCGAGTCCCTTACTCTTAAAGCTCAAGTAGAATTTGTCAAGTCTGATAATGTAGTTTTTATGATGCAGGGTGAGGTTGGGGAATACTTTCAGGGACCATTCCATCCCCAAGAGTTTCCTTCTCTCATTGCTGTGCAGGACAAGGTCCTTACCTGCGAGTTACCGTCATGCCTTTGCCAACTCTGCCTAGACTCAGACAACAAGCCAAAAATATTTATGACTCTTTACCCCAGAGGCAAGAAGAACAGGGTAAGTTTATTTTCCAATACATGGAGTCCCGACATACAAAACTCCTAACCCCAGAATGCACCTCTCATCACCTAGAAGCAACTCTCTCTAAACTTTCAGAAATTTCTGACCTTCAGGGAGCAAGAAGAAGAATGGGATAGATAGACTACAAGATGAGACTCCAGTGAAAGAGCCTAGAGAGTTCTAAAAAGGGAGCAGGGGTTTGTCTAGGTTTAGGGTTTTGATTTTCCTTGGTGTCAAGGTAACAGAGGACGAGTGGGTACATCTAGGAATGGGCAAGACATTCAGAAGGAGAACATGCCCCCCATCATTACAAGCAGGGAGGATTCTCACCAGGAGCCTCCTCCTCAACCTCCCACCATTGTGCTAGTGTTCTCTGGCACCACAGAAGCTGAGGAGGGCTCCAGGTCTCAGAGCACATCATCCTTCTAGCTCTGACCCTCTCACCACACAGAACACCAGCCCCCCCAACACCAGACACCACAAAAACCCACTGCACTCACGACGCAGGGAGTGTTAAGGCTGAAGCTAGGACTGGCTGCCTTTGTCAGGATTTGTTCTCTGTCCTTTCAGGGAGACATCAGTCAAGGAGCGTCCGTATTTTCAGTACCGAGAGCCTCTTCTCCAGAAACTCTGACAGCCCTCCCTCGGCGCATATGGTAAGAGTCACATGACATGACTAGCTCTTTGGGAGAAATGACTTGTCTGACAGAAGAACTGAGGTGAAAATGTCCTAGGTCCCAAATCTTGTCACCACAGACAAACAGCACGCTCTTTGGCACTCACCCTTGAGGGCTATTAATAATCGGGAAGACAAGCCTCAGGACCGCCACTGCTCAAGTAGAAACATTATGAAAAATGGAGCAAGGGCCTGAGACTTTAAGAAGGACGGGAGGGGATGAGTACTCCAGGACATGATGTTAGAACTGCAATGGTTTGTTTTAACAAAGACATGATAATGTGCTTATTCAAATGAGCGTTGTCCTCTTCAAAGTAATCATCTTAAGAGTGTCACAGATATTCCAGCATTGTTGTTAGTACTCAAAACAGACTTAAAACCCTGCTTTGGGAATTACTTCTGGGACTTGCGTCAAGTTATTTCAATTAGCACTATAGCTGGTATAGAAAGCGTTTGATCAAATGGGAGCTATCCTTTGAGGCAGGAGTCCCCAATCCCTGGGCAATGGACCCATACTGGTCCATGGCCTGTTAGGAACTCACAGCAGAAATTGAGTGGTGGGCAAGTGAGCGAAGCTTCGTCTATACTTGCAGCCGCTCCCCAGCACTGGCATCACTGGCTCAGCTCCACCACAGATCATCAGGCATTAGATTCTCATAGGAGCACTGGTCCCTGGTGCCAAAAAGATGAGGGCCGCTGTTTTGAGGTTACAAGAGGAAGGTTCCAACTGATAACAATAACCCCATATGTCATGCTCTGGCTCTGAAGGCAGGAGTCCCACACAGTGTGGGACAGAGGCACAGGGATAGCAGAGGGACTGCTTTGAAGTCAGGGTGCTCATTTCCATGGATAAGTCCTTGTCTACTTTTTAAAGAATCAGTCCCTTCGGGCTGGTGGTCATCTCAAGCAAATGCAGTTATGCTTCTGATGTTTTCTGTTGTTACCTGGCCTCTCTTCACCATGTGGCCACCTCCATGTTGCCACCTTTGTTGCTTCTTCTCCTGCCAGTCCCATCCTTGGGCTCCACTGATAAAGTGCAGGAAAGAGGAAACTGTTTGAGGACTCGAGTGGGTCTTGAAGGGATTTTGCATCTAGAGCTTAGACTTCAGCTCAGATACATGTTTAGCTTGGACTAAATGTTTGAAGGACATTTTGAGCCTGTAGCCAACATTTAAAACTCTAAGTCCAGATGTCCAGCTTTTCTTGAAAATTCAGATATTCTAGAAACATCAGACCAGAATCCTAAATGACCATAATCAGCTGATTCTGTGCATCAGCTGCCCCTTAATAACAAGAAACATTTTTTAGTGTTTTCTGTGTGCCAGAAGATATTCTAAACACTTTACACATGGAAATCCATTTACTCCTCATGAAAACCTTATGACGTAGATACCATTATTATCCCCATGTAGGAAACCAAAGCACAGAGAGATTAGGTAACTTGCCCAAACTCAGCACAGAGTGGTGAGGCTGGGATTGGCACCCTCAGTCTGAGCCTTTACCTTTAACCACTATGCTATGTTGCCCCTCAATGTGCTCTGAATTGGCAGGCTCTCTCCGTTAATAATATTATCCCCACGCCCCATTGAACTTCCACATTGTGGCCAAAAAACAATTACAATTTATCATCACACTTACACTGTTGCTTTCCCTAATTTCAGTCCATTTTGCTCATACCTACCTAGCATCTAAAGCCTTGCATTTGGAGATCCTGATTCAGTGCTTTTCTACAAGAAGGAGAACTGGGTGAAAAAATGATCAGATAGCAGTACTGTGTGGGGAAGAAGAAAGGCTTTGTTCTTGGTTCTGCTTCCACCCTGTCACTGGCTTTCTCTTCTTGCTCATAGCCCTCCCAAGCAGACAATGCCCTCCAGGTGCACAGAGCCCATAGCCATGCTGTGAGCTGTGCTAGGGACATCTATGACAATGCCATGGAGGCCCAGATGTATGGCAACCCCATTCCCTCAGCACACTACATCAATGTCAGAGCAGCTGGAGACAGCCTGAGCATCTCTTCAGAAGATTCAAGAGATTATGTCAATGTTCCCATAGCAGAAGAGGTTACTGAGACTCTAGCTTCTACCAACACCCTCCCCAGGAACCTTCTTGTCTTCCCAAGTGCTCAGGAGCTGGAGTCTACTGAGGAAAAAAATGAAGGCTGTGGGGATGCCCATAACAGCACCAGTTTTTGGTCTCCAGAAACTGAGAGCAATGATTCACTCAGCGATGAGGAAGGCTCTTCTCAGACCTCAAATGACTACGTCAACATGGCAGGGTTGGATCTCAGGGCCATCCAAGGGGAGCATCCCTGGATGTCTTGTCAGTGCTGCAGAGATTATGCAGATGTCCCACCAGCAGATCTCAATAGAAGCCAGCAGCAGGCAGAAGAAGTGACCTCCTCAAACACAGACCATGTAGAGCGCAGGGCAGATGGTCTAGGAACCCACGTCCAACTTGCAATGCAGTCAGGGAAGTTCCTGGATTTAGGTGATTATGTGACTTATCAGCCACCTGCACAAAATGAGAACAGTCAGATGACAAAAGAGGACTCTAATGACTATGAGAATATGCTAGCTGTCAAGTTAGAAAGCAGGGACTGCGAGCAGGGACCAGACACACAGCTCCTTCCTGATGAATTAAGATCCAGCCACCCAGCTGGAAAGCTACATGGAGTAGTCTGTCCTGCCAGATCCAAAGCCACTACAGGTCTTCTAACGAAGACCTTTGACCATCCTAGTATTTCAGTGGATTCATTTAGTTAGGCTAAAAAGAGGCTGAGAGGAGTAGGGAGCTAAGAGGCTTGCAAAGCAAAGGTTTGGGAAAGCAAGAAAGAAATTCTTCTCAAGTAGGGTGCCATTATCTCTCATACCAGTCTAAGAATGTTTGCTGCCATTACCTTTAAGGACCGTTAGGAGATCAAAAATGCAACAGTACTTTAGTGCACCATGGAAATATAAAGTAGTCTAAAATCATTACCTTCACTCATACCAGCAAGCTACAAAGCAAAAATATGGATTATTTTGTAATCTAGGCAGAGGCTAAAGGAAGGGAGAAATGGGAGTGGGGGTGGGGGACAGTTTCTACTTTAAAATGAGGGTAGACAACCAAATGATGGACAGGATGTGGAGCAACAAGAACTCTCACTAATTGCTGATGGGATTGCAAAACATAACATCTACTTTGGAAAACTGTTTGGCAATTTTTTATAAACATACACTTATATGACCCAGTGATTCCACTATTAGGTATTTACCAAAATCAATTGAAAACTCTTGTTCATACACGAGTTTTCAAAAACCATACATGACTGTTTACAACAGCTTTATTAACATTTTCCAAAAACTAGAAATAACCTAGATCTCCTTCAGCAAGGGAATGGATAAACTGTGGTATAGTCATATAATGAATATCCATACTCAACAGTAAAAAAGAATGAACTATTAATTCATGCAACAACATGAACTAATCTTAAATGCATTTTTTTAAGTGAAAGAAGCTAGACCTAAAAATCTACATATTACATGATTCCATTTATGTGACATTCTGGAAAAGGTGAAACTATAAGGATAGAAAACAGATTAGTGATTGGCAAGTTTGAGAAAAGGAGCAGAGTTTACTACAAAGGAATTTTTAGAGTAATGGAGCTGTTCTGTATAGGACTGTGGTGGTAGATACATGACTCTATGCATCTGTCAAAATGCAAAAAAAAAAAAAAAAACTGTATAGCATACAGAGTGACTTTTATTGAGTGCAAATTTAAAAAATTAACCAGGCTGTCAGGGGAACCAACGATGAAATACGAGTTGTGACAAATGAATCTAACTGTATTACAAATATATGTTATAACATCACTGAAGCAGGGAGTGAGGAGGAGCTGGCCTAATTAACTTTGGAAAACAATGTTTTTACTTGAATAGTAAGATAAAAACATAAAGAACTCTACATAAACACTGTACCCTAGTTAGTAAATTTGTATTTCACAGGAGTATAGATTAGCAATCCTGATACTACTTGAAGTGTTTATTAAGATTGAACAAATAAGTAAATATATTATAAATAAGGGGAAGCAGGTTTCTTACTATCAGAGAGAAAAGTAACAAATGAACAAGTAGGAAAGACTCCAATGAACTATGGTGCTGGATTAGAGAGTTAGGGTACAGTTGGAACATGCACACATATATATGAGTAGATACAGTAATAAATATAGGTATACATTTCTTAGCTCTGTCACTAAGGGCCTCGAAGCAATGTCACCTCAGTAGCAATGAACACACTAGCACTCAGATCTTGGTTTCTAAATATCATTCTCCAATGAAAGGAACCAGAGCTCCTTGGAGAAATGGCTCTTTCTAGGCCTGGGGCAGAGAAAACACAGAACAAGCTTGACCATCTTGTAGAAAAGGAAAACGCAAAACAAGGAAAAGAGAAAAGAGAAAGGAAGAAAAGAAAAATAGAAAGGAGTGGATGGGGGAAGGAAAGACAAGATGAGGACATGTCCAAAGGAGCCAACTGAAAGAGCTCCCAAAGCAAAGCCAGAACAATTTCAGCAGTAAAAATAAATAATAACATAAATTTGTAACTCAAAGAACAAAATAAATATTTATAATTGACACCTGTACTAATGGTCAAATAAATAAAATGTAAGAAAGGGATAAAACTTTCTTACAGATAAATTACAAATAATAAACATAGAAGAAATGGGGGAGATCACCATTAAGACACCACAGAATAAATGCTGTGGGTAAGTTCTGATGAATGCTCAAATTAGTGGGTGACACTTTTAGGAAAACTAAGATAGTTGCAGGGCCTCAAAGGCTCTTCTCCAAAATATTTATTCATCACTGTGATAATTTTAACACATGTCCACAAATTATTTGATACTCCCCCAGAACTTAATTCCCTTCCCTTTCAATGTGGGCTAGACTTAGTGGCTGTATTCTAACAAATAGAATATAAAATGGGGAGGGGGGAGTGAATTTGGAGTGGAGAAACTTGGCAGATACCACCTTGATCATGTGGTCAAGAATAACTCACTGGTATGAGTCATATTGCTATATGATCAACAAAACAGATACTTCACCTCTGTGGTATTCTTCAAAATCCACAGCCCCAGCTTTATCATGAGAAAAAAACGTTAGAGAACCCAAATTGTATGCATTCTACAAATACCTGAGCAGAACTCTTAAAAGTGTTAATGTCATGAAACACAAGGAAAGGCTGAGAAACTGTCAGATTGGAGGACACAGAGGATACACGATGACTAAGTATAGCATGATACTTTGGATTGTATCCTGATACAGAAAAAGGACACTAGCAGAAAAAAATGGTAAAATTCAAAGATGTTATATTTTAGTTAATAGTAGTATGTCAATGTTAGTTTCTCAGATGTTAACATTAAGGGAAAGTGGGTGAAGGGTATACAGGAACTCTCTGTACTATCTTTGCAACTTTTCTGTAAATTATTTCTAAATAAATAATAATTTTAAAGCATGAATAAAGCTGGGAGTGAAGACAAATAGCTCATCCCATTGAAATAAGTGTGCTTTTGTTCCTTCTTCTGCAAAATGGATATAACATAAAGCACATCTTCTGGGTGTTTGTTTTTTGCATTGTTTTGTTAGCATATACATACAATCTCCCCTATCAATCTACATCTTTTTGCCTGCTGCATCATTAAGTCAAACATATGTTGACTTAAATATATTTAAGTCCTTGGCATTCACCCTGGCTCTTAACACAAGGCCCGAGATAAAGGTGGGTTATTGATAATTGATGATTGATGATGTGATTTCAGTGCTCCTACTTATAGCGCAAAATGTTGAGAGAGGTTTTGATGATGTTTGGGAAGGGAGGCTAAGACCTAAAGCTGAGTAGGTATAATGGTATAAAACACCCCACATTCTGAGGTCAAAGTGCACCAGCTGTTAGGAGTCAGCCAACACTCTTCAGGAATTACTGAGAGTGGGAAAATTAGTATTACCATATACTGCTCTCCACTTCACCATGTCCCTACTCTACAAGAGAGGACACAGAGGTGACTAAGGCTAGCCTTTGAGGAGTTTGCTGGTCAGGAAGAGAGGTTCTTTTCTCCTTCACTGCTCCCCATCCCTGGGGGTAGTAACCATCTCCTTCTGCGGAGTGCTTGATGCCCCAGGAGAAAGAAGAGAGCATCGTCAGAACTGAGAGGGTGGGGCTATGAAACAGCTGGCCACCCACTGTTGGGCATGGCAAAAAATAAGAGCATCACTAAGGGGGAGTTAACTGGGCCTGGGCCGTCTTGTTGGCACCACCTCTACAGCATGCCAGGCAAGGGCCTCTAGGACAAATCTAAGGTGTCCTCACAAGCACTTGCATGGGGGCTAGAGACTGAACACTTATGTGCCCCCAGAGTTCATATGTTGATGGTATTTGGAGCTGGGGCCTTTGGGGGTAAATGGGTCATGAGAGTGGAGCCCTCCTGAATGGGATTAGTGCCCTAGTAAAAGAGATCCCAGAGAGCCCCCTCAACCTTCCACTATGTGAGGACACAGCCAGAAGGTAGCTGTCTGGGAGTCAGAAAGTGGGCTTTCACCAGACACAAAATCTGCTGGTGCCTTGATCGTGGACTTCCCAGCCTCCAGAACTGTGAGAAATAAACGTTTGTTGTTTAAGTCACCCAGTGTGTAGTGTTTTTGTTATAGCAGCCTGAAGGGACTAAAACAATGGAATAAAGGCGGATTATTTCAGGAGCTAATTCTCTCACATCTCGTGACTGTATTGTCGGTAAATTTTTTCAAGGCTCTCGGATTCATCCCACAGGTAGCCAGCATTTAAATTCCTGCCACACAGAGAGCACCATGTCAGTCTGGTGTTGATAGCCAGGGAAGCAGCAACAAGTACATAGAGAGGATGGCAACCTTACCCAGTCACGTAAGAGATTTATATCAGATGTGAAAACAAAGACTTGGACAGAACTGAATCTTAAGTACTGGCATGAGAGAATTCTCAGAACCATGAGAGAATGAAAAATTATAGGATCAGAATAAGAAATTGTTAAGAAAGCTACTACCTGGTAGGAAAGGGAGGTTCAACCTACCACAGTTGGGGAGTGGGGCCTGGAAAAAAATAAAGCCAACTCATGTTTATACCTCAATAATCCAGTTACACTCATATACATTCTCTCAAATTGAGAATGATTAATAAATTATAGATTATCTCACATTAGATAGGTAATTTTTCTATTTCTTGTTCTGAAAATTTTTACCAATGAATGATAAAAGACTTTCTGTAGAATTATAATTTTTTCTTTCACTTTATAGTTTTATTTTCTTACATTAGGTACCAGGAAATTTTGAGTTGAATTGTATGCCCAATTGCAGTAGTTATCTGATCTCATATGCATGATAATGCTAAACATGAGGAAATTTTTTCAAGATCAGGATGAGAAAATAGACATAAAAATAGTCCATTATAATTCCTTAATTACTTAAATATAGTGAATTAATTATTCAAACTTATGTTATTTTGATTGTGACCACATTCAGAATACACTATGAAATGCAGAGGTTTGCTAAGTGTCCTCCTTCCCTCTGTGTCTCCCACCCTCTGATGGTGAGCAGAAGACAGATTTCGTTGCCCCTCTGGCATGTCTCGCTCCCTGAGCACTGCCTTAGTATCATGGAGCTTTATCATTACTTCTGGTGTTCCTGTGGGCTGAAGGCCCACACCTACTTGCAAATACTTCTAGAAACTCTGAGTCTTAAACCAACCAATAAGTTGCTGTCACAGAAAGAAGGTAACGGTGTTCCTAGAAGACACAAACAACCAAGGAAACCTATCGTATCCTTTCTTACTTGTGTTACTTCCTTATATTAGTTGACCACTCATGCTGAAAACGATGACATAGCAAGAAAAGGGAAAATAGGGTAAACCATACTTTCTTTTCCTTTCAGTCTTCCCTTACTCTCAATAAGCAGAAGAATGTCGGTAGAATTGCGTGTATCAAAAAGTGGAGGCAACAATTCTACTCACCAAGTATGATATGTGGGGCGTTCCCTCACCACCAAGCAATTTTCCAGCTGGGTATCCTATAATTCAACTCAGTACTGACA